CCACTCTACCTTTTTAAACAAACAAACAGTGTACTGGCACAATGATGTGAACATAGCTGATGCTATTGAATTGTACATTAAAAATAATTAAAATGGGCCCTGGCCGGTTTGGCTCAGCGGTTAGAGCGTCGGCCTGCGGTCCGGAGAGACCCGGGTTCTGTTCCCGCTAAGGGCACGTACCTCGGTTGCAGTTTTTCCCCGGCCCTGGTTGGTCGTGCAGGTGGCAGCCACTCGATGTGTCCCTTCACGTCGATGTTTCTGTCTCTCTCTCCCTTCCTCTCTCTCCCTCCCACTCTATCTTTACAAAAAATGGAAAAATATCCTCGGGTGAGGATTAAAAAAATAATAATAATAATTAAAATGGTAAAAAAAAAAAGCCCTCTGTGTAAGGGCTGGGGAAAGAAGGTATAGGAACTCTACTTACTGATCAATTTTTTTGTAAACTGAAACTGTTCTAATAAATAAAATTTATTTATTTATTTATTTATTTTTTATCCTCACCCGAGGACATTTTTGCATTTATCTTCAGATAGAGTGGGAGGGAGAGAGGGAGGAAGAGAGAGAGAGAAACATCGATGTGAGAGAGACACATCGAGCGGCTGCCACCTGCACGACCCAACCAGGGCCAGGGACAAACTGCAACCAAGGTACGTGCCCTTAGTGGGAACCGAACCCAGGCCTCTCTGGTCTGTGGGCCGATGCTCTAACCACTGAGCAACTGGCCAGGGCTAAAATTTATTTATTAAAAATATTATGATAAGTGAAAAAAGCCAGACGAGAGGCCCTATGTTTGACTCCATTCCTATGAAAACCCACATAGGCAGCTCTGTAGAGACAGAACGTAGGTAGCGTGTTGGGGGAAGCGTTCTGGGAGAGATGAACAGGCAAGCACAGAGGGCTTTATGGCGGTAAACATGCTCTGTATGATATTAATGATGGATGTGTGCCATACACTTGACCAAACCCGAAGAATGTACGATACCAAGAGTGAACCCCAAAGTAACCCATGAGCGTTGGGTGATTATGATGGGTCAATGTAGGTTTATCCTTGCTAAAAAAGGTACCATTCTGGTGAGTGACACTGATATGGGAGGACCTCTGCACATGTGGGTGGGGGGTTATATGGGAAAGCTCTGTACCTGCCTCTTAATTTTGCTGTAAACCTATCACTGTTCTAAAACAAAATAAAGTTTTCTTTAGAAGTAAATAGTGGAGGGAGGAAGAAATGGGGAGTGATGGCTAATGGGTATTGGGGTTTCTTTTTAGGATGATGAAAATATGCTGGAATTAGAGTGACAATCGTAACCACACTAAAAACCGCTGGATTGGACACATTAAAAGGGTCGACTCTATATTATGTAAATTATATACCAATAATAATTTTAAAAGCCAGTGTTCTGGGTATAAAGAAGATCACATCTGTGTTAATGGGACCAGGAGACAGTGGAGTGCTGTCCAGGAGAGCGGAGCGGAAGGGAAGGGTCCCGGCAAAGGCCCTGCACGCTCCTGCCTTGGGACCTCGCCCAGCACCTTCTGGGGAGCTGCACAGTGATGCCGGCGGCTGAACGGCTCTCGGCTCTCTGACCTGTCACAGTCCCTGTGTTGTGTGTGTTGAAAGGGGTGTGTGATCCTCTACTCAAATAGCTTCTTCTGCATGCTTTTATTTCTCCTTTTCTTAATTTATCTGCTAACTACAGTCATCTGTTATCTCTTGAAATCTCTTTTACTCCTTCCCATTCAATACACACTCTTTCTTTTTTTTTTTTTTTAATCCTCACCCGAGGATATTTTTCTATTTTTTTGTACAGATAGAGTGGGAGGGAGAGAGAGAAAGGGAGAGAGAGAGAGAAACATCGACGTGAAGGGACACATCGAGTGGCTGCCACCCACACGACCAACCAGGGCCGGGGACAAACTGCAACCGAAGTACGTGCCCTTAGCGGGAACCGAACCCGGGTCTCTCCGGACCGCAGGCCGACGCTTTAACCGCTGAGCCAAACTGGCCAGGGCCAATACACACTCTTTCTACTGCACTGTGATTGCTTCTCCTCTTCTGTTGTTCTCACAGATAGAGAGAAAAACCCCTCTGCCTGGCTAGTTATCCTTCCTCCCTCCCTCCCTCCCTCCCTCCCTCCCTCCCTCCCTCCTTTCCTTCCTTCCTCCCTTCCTTTCTCCTTTCCTTCCTTTACTCCTTCCTTTCTTCCATCCACTCATTCACCCCTCTATCCATCTACCCGTTACCTAGCTGAGGAACTCCCACCATTTCAGAAGGAACAGGCTCACTTCCTGGCAACACCACCAGAGAAACAACCTCCCAAGGAAAAAAATCACTGTTATCTCCTAGCATCTGTGAACAGGAACTAGTGAGTTTCTTCCCCTCATAATATTTCTAGCTGCTACCACATGAAAGAGAATAAAGCAACTGTGCACCGAGGCCATGATCTGCCGAGCTGACCTGCAGGCATCTTGCTTTAGTACTTTGACTCTTCACAGAGGATGGTTATTTCATGGCCTACGTGATGGGGAAAGAGTTTGATACAACTGACTTATGTGCTGTCTTGGCATATTCTGTGAATTTTATTTATAGAAAAAACTGGAAGTTTCCTACCCAAAAAGTACCTCTCCAATAATTTTGTAAATTATAGATTTATGGAAAGAGTAGATAGAAGGAAATTTGGTGAGAAAATTATTATTTTTAGTTTCAAATATTCCTTTAGATGAATATGTTTCCTATTGATTCACATATTAGTATCAATTCATTTATGCATATCCACACCTGGATATAATCACCCTGGATTGGTGCCCTATTGGTGAGAATAAAAAGGACTGACCTAGGGTTGGGTCATCCTTCGCTGCCTTTGAGAAAGCTCCACCATGGGGGCCTCAACACCCTTTACTTACACCCCACTGACTCTTCTTTCAAGTCTGAATTCAAGAGCTTCCTCCTCTTGGGAAAAAAGTCTTTCTTTATGTCTCTAGTTTAGAGCCATTTGTCCTTCTGTCCACAAATAGCACACTGGGTGAGACACAGAGAAGAAAAACATATTAGCAATATATCTAATTGACAAAGGATTTGTATCAAGAATATCTATAAAGAGCTCTTACAACAATAAGACCAACAACCCAATTTTTAAAATGGGCAAAAAATATGAAAAGGACATATATAAGTAGCCAATTATCACATGAAAAGATGCTAAAAAGTCAGTCACCCAGGAAATGCAAATCAACACACCATTAGGATGTCTAAGGTTAAAAGACTAATGATACCAAGGGTTGGAGAGGACATGCAGTAACTAGAACTCTCGATCAGTGCTGGTGGGAGTTCAGAATAGCACCACTCCACGGGACAGCTTGAAACAGAAATTCTGCTTCTAGCTATTTATCCAAGAGAAATGAAAACATATGTCCACACAAAGACTTGTATGTGAATGCTTATAGCAACTTTATAATAGTCCCAAACTGTAAACAGTCCCAATGTCAATCAATAGGTGAATGGATAAACAACCTATGGTATGCCCAGGCCATGGATAAATGAAAAGGAACAAGTTGCTGGTATAAGCAACCACATGGATGAATCCCAAAATGCCATGCTGAGCGAAGGAAGCACAAAAGTGTCAATACCCCATGATTCCATTTACATGAAACTCACTGGAAAGTTCAAGTTCGTCTATAGTGACTGAATGCAGATCAGTAGTTGCCTGAGTTCAGGAAGGGACAAAAAAGAAGGAAAGTCTGGGGATGATAGAAATGTTCTACGTTTTGACAGTGATGGCAGCATGGGTAAACACATTTGTCAACACTCTTCAAACTGAACACTTAAAATGTATGCAGTTCATTGCTTATAAATTATACCTCAACCAAATTGATTTAAAAATATATGACTTCTCTGACTCTTAATTTCCTGTAATCTAGTTGCACTCTGTATCTTCTCTCTCCTGTTTATTTTAGACCCTGGAGGTTACCCTTATAACCTTCAAACCTATTCTGTAAAAACTCTGAGGCCTCGAGTCCTTCTTTCCCCATGGTCACTGATTACCTTTGGACATTAACTAGTTTGGTCATTTTGGCCTGAGCCTTAGTCCAGGGAGGGGCCCAGAGGGTAGCTGTTTCGCCTCTCTCATAAGAACTCCTGAGTCATCCACTCCCCTCCATTCCCAGGCCTGTGAGCACTTTTGGCCTGATTTCTGAGGATCATCTAAGCTTAATGGAGACACTGTATTCTTTCTTTCTTTCTTCCTGCCCATGAGTGACAGCAGTTTGTGGACTAGAGATGTGTGCCCGCTCTCACCTTACTCCTTTACGAAGCTGATGGTCAGACCAGTGGGGAAGCCGGTGAGGCTACTCTTTGGTTCCTGGTTTGCTTGGCCAAATTCATTTGTGGGCTGAGTACATTAGTCTTTCTCTTTACTTAAGAAGATCGTGCGGACCGAGGGCCACATTGATTCCTCGCAGAGCAGTTTCATTCCAGCTGAGGGGAATGACTTTAATTTTTCAGAAATCTTTCTCCGGGTCAGAGTGTGGCAGGTTGACCGTTCTGCATTGGCCAGGCAGTAATTCCAATCATTCAACCCCTCTTGCGCTCGGTGGTTTGGCGTGCTAAGTAGAAGGTTCTTGGCCGGGAACCTCTTGAGGAAAATTGCTGGACTGAGCAACCATTACAGACATTGGGGAGAGTTCAATTTACTTGCTGAATAAAAAAAAGAAATAAAAGGAAACATTCAAAACAAACTACAAAAGTAGCCAAGTGAACAGACTCATCAGACTGTAATGCTTTGTGAGTGTAGCTGCTGCTTTGCCAATCCCCACTTCACCCCAGCATTCCTTTGGGGCACACTATCAGCAAAAAACAATTCGAGCTGTTATGTGACAGCTTCGGATTTCTCAGAATGTTTATTAAATGGTTATGAAGACGTTCCAAGCTGCCCTCAGCCAGTGTTGATAATCTTCTACATGAATTGCTCTGCTCAAGGCCTCTAACAGCATCAGACAAGATAGTTCATGCACATAATTGCAGGTGCTCCCATATTTTCCAGGCTGATAAGTCTGTCTTTGAAACCAGTCTGTTTCAACAGTGCTGTCCTTATTCGTCCTGAAGTTTTCCAAATCCTTTGGGATCAAATAAGATGACTTGTGAAAGTCTTTTGTAAACTTCAGTGATATAAATAGAATGTGATGATCTTCAAAATATACACTAAAAGCTTACCTGACAGTAAAAGACATTCTCCTGCATCAGGAAGTTCATGGAAAAAGACATACAGTGGCCTTTAAATGCATATATTAATAATGCTCAATTCTACTCGTAATAAGAGACATGCAAATTAAAATTATACTCAGATAACTATTTCTCAACTATCTGGCAAAAAAAAAATCTCGAGTTTTATAATACTCTCTATGGCAAGACTATGGGGGAAAAAGAACTTTTGTATGTTTCTGGTGGGAGAGAAAAATGATACGGCCCTCATGGAGAGAAATTTGCCATGCTCTAGCAAAATCACATATGTATAACCCTTTCACCTATCAATCCCACTGTGAGAAATTTACCCTGAAAATACACCTTCACAATACAAAAAAATATGACCTAAGTTATTCATTACATTTGTAATAACAAAATATTAGGAACAACCAGGATGCCCATTCATTGGGCATTATTAATAAATTATGGTACGTCCACACAATGGAATACTATGCAGCCATCAAAAAAAATAAGGAAGATCTCTATTTATGGGTATGAAATAATTTGCAGGACATAAAAAGTGATAAAAAGCAAAGTGCCAAAAGAGTGTTCACAGAGTGCTTTTTTCTATAAGAACCAAGGGGACATAAGAACATACATGTATATATTTCTTATTTTTGCAAAAACAAAGTCAAGAAGGACAAATAAATAATAAAAATAGCCGCCTACAGAGGGTATGGGTGGGCAGGGATGCAAGCAAGACTTCTCTAATGAGAACATCTTTTACTAGTTTTAACTTTTAAACTATGTAAATATTCTATATATTAAAGACATAAAATGAAATAAAGTGAAAGATAAAAGAAAACCTTACTATTGAATACAGAAAGAAGTGAATCTTACTGTACACTAGATAGATAACAGCTACACAGAAAAATAAAGACTATATATTATTAACAGATTATATCTTAAGATCACAAGATTGCAACATCATCTTGAACTTTATGATTTTATTGGTGGCAGTGTTATTGGTCGTTTTGTTTCTGAAGCTATTTTGTGACTATTGTACTACAGCATAAACACTTAAGTATATTAATGTTGAAAACTAAGACTTTCACGGTGGGATAAGGGAAATACACATATAGAATGGAAAAATTATGTTTTGGGGTATGTTTATTTTTTTATTTGAATTGAGAAAACATTATGAATTTATCATTTAATTTTCTTCTAGCTCTGTATTAAAAAAGAGGACCAGAAGCAACGATACTCCAGAAGTAATCGGCATATCTCACACTCGGTTCTCTTTTCCTAAGTAGCACTTCCCATTCAAAGAAACCAGGGCTTTTAATGGACCTGGCTGGCTCCGAGGCTGGAGCAGGGAACGTAAAAGGGGATGATATTGAGATAGCCGGTGCCAGCCAGCAAGGACATGCCCAAAAGTTAATGGGCCTATGTGGAAAGGACAAAACGGCATTGACTTTTTAAAAAATTATGAGTCCACATTATTAACTCAAAAAAGAAGGAGGGGGAAGCTCTTCTTTAGGAAGACTATCAGCAAAGAAAGGAAAAAAGAAAAGAAAATGGAAGAAATAATAGAATAAAAACCCTCAATTCTTCCACCATCAATCTATTGTTTGAATAATGCAAGTATCATCAATAGCTGCTAGAAACGTTGGATGAGAGATTTGGGGGAAGCAGGATATTCACAAAATCTCAAGTAATGACAGGTTAGGAATTACAAAGGGAAAGTCATCTTCGCAATGAAGAGAGCTTGATTACCAGGAACAGGAGAACCTGACGCAATGTAATAGAATGTCACCTGCGCCACATTCCAGCCAAAAATGTTCCAGCAGAGTCTACAAGAGGAAACAGTCTACAAGACAATTGGCTCAGATTCTCGAAATGTCAAAGTCACGGAAGATAGTGGGGAAAGCCAGCGTTCTGTTCTGATTTAAACAAACTAAAGAGACATAGGAAGGAATTCAGTGCATAGCCTTTGACTGATTCCTGGATCAAAAAGGAAAAAAAATGAAACACAGGAATAAAAGACACCCTTCGGGAAAAATTGGGGAAGTTTGAATAGACTGCATATTGAAATATATTAGGGAATTGTTCATTTCCTTACATGCAATAATAGCAATGTTGATACAGAAGAAAGCCCTTTTTCTTAGGAAACACTTGCTGAAGAATTTAGAAGTGAGATGCCATACGCCTGCAACTTATTTTCATCTGTGTGGAGAAAGCACAAACGTGGCAGAATGCTGACAACTGGTGAATTTAGATAAAGGATAAGTGGACGTTCATTGATTCTTGCAACTTTTCTATAGTTTGAAATATTTCAAAAGAAAAAGTTGGCAAGGAACAACATCCTACCTGATCTGACGAGGTTCCTCTTTGCAGATGGCAGTGTGTGATCCACACCCTCGGAGCCTAAAGTGAGAGGAAGAAAGGGGATTCTCTTTAGATGCAGAAAAGCCTCTAATCAAGGCAGTGGTTAAATGCTTGGGCTTTGGAGACAGACAGACCCAGGCTGGAAACCGATGCAGGTTTTTCAAACTCTCTAAGCTTCCCTTTCCTCAACTATAAAATGAGGTTAGCCTGGCTGGTGTGGCTCAGTAGATTGAACTTCGTTCCAAGGACTGAAAGATCAGGTTCGATTCCCAGACAGGCCACATGCCTGAGTTTCAGACTCGATCCCTAGTAGGGGGCACATATCTCTCTCACATCGATGTTCCTATTTCTCCCTTCCTCTGTCTCTAAAAATATCAATAAAAACGTATTTTTAAAATAAGGTTAATAATAGTGCCCACCTCAAAGGACTGAGGGATGAATGAGGTCATCCGTGTCAAGCATCAGCATGCAATCCATCCAGCACGCTCACCACGCGCAGATGTTAGCTCTGATCTTCAGAGTGTGGGTTTGAACATGGCCTGGCATTTGCTTGGGGAGATAGATTGTAGCAATGCTTCCGGAACTGTCACTGCATTCAGATCCCCTGGGGATCACCTTGTTAAAATGCAGATCTGGTTCTCCGGGGTCTGGGGTGGGGCCTGTGACCTACCTTTCTGCCAAGCTCCCAGGTGATGTCCCTGCTGCTGGGACCCGGACACACTGTAGGCGGTGAGGGATTCGAGGGGCTTTCTTCCTCCATTTTTGATTTCTGCTTTGTTCCTAAGCACATTATACCCTCTTTTTGGTGAAAATTACTCCCTCCTATTTACATATTAAGTTTTGGATTCTCTGGTTTTTTATATTTTTACATAATTAAAATGCATCCTAGTAGCTTCTCATGAACACAACTATTCTTACACGACATGCTCTATGACCCACATTAGAAATACTGTTTTCCGTTGTTTCAATACTATCCGTTTATCTGTTTACCTATTTTTTAAGAGTTTTCTCTGAAGAGTCCTATTAAAAACAGCAGTGAGACGGATAAGAGAGCATGTACAGAGAAGAGAAAAGAAAAGACGACTTCACACTTCAAGTGTCAGACACTACCAGTGGGGAGGGGAGATAAGGAGAGAACATACTTTGAAGTAGAATGCTCACCTTTTCCGAAAGATAGGGACAATTTCAGCAGATCTTCACTTTGGGGGGTCACAGAATCCTTTTAGAATCGAATAGGCCCCCTACCCAGAAAAACAGACACAATGACATGCACCACACAAATCAGGAGTCCATGGACTCTCTGAGGCTTGTTCATGGACTAGTAGGTGAGAGTTACCGCCTCATAAATAGGAACTCACCCGGCTGGTGTGGCTCAGTGATTGAGCGTTAACCCAGGCACCAAAAGGTCGCCAGTTCAATTCCCAGTCAGGGCACATGCCCAGGTTGTGAGCCCGATCCCCAGCGGGGGACATGCAGGAGGCGGCCAATCAATGTTCTTTCTCATGGATGTTTCTATCTCTCTCTCCCTCTCCCTTCCTCTCTCTCTAAAATCAATAAAGAAAAATATTTTAAATAAATAGGGACTCAGTGGAAACTCTGGGCACGACCCTCGCTCTCCGATACCTCCGTGGGAGATGTCTGCAAGCACTGGGGAAGCACTGGACTACAACCAGAAAAACAGAATCTACACAGGGGACTGGGTGTGGGATTCAACCTTGGGAGTAAAAAACCAGATCCAAAACGTGTGCGCTGGATCAGAAGCATTGGGCCCTGGGAGCAGAGATTTGAAGGAAAACAGCCAGATCAAAGCGTCCTGCTTACTTAAGGCACGTAGCGTTAGGTCTCGCCTGAGCTAGAATCCTGGGAGGGTCCGATGGCCTTGTTTTGCCCACGTGGAGACCCTTGATTCTCATCCTCACTCGGGGTCCTCTGGGCCTCGAATCTGTGTTCAGCAAAGCTGAAGAGCTTCTTAAGCCCAGGAATTTGTGCAGTTCACAAAATGACTTATTGAGGATGACTGAGCCCACTCTGTTAGAACTATTTATAGTTGTGGCATAAACTAATGACCACACTACGGAGGATGTACAGTGGGTTCCAATAAGAGTCTCCAGCCTTCCTCCTAAGGATGTGGTAAGTAAGAGAACTTTCTGGGGAAGGTTTTGCCCAAATCCTCAGCTGTGTGCCCTGCACTGCCCTTGTCACCACAGACTCCTTATTAAAGAGTCTCAGTCTTTCCTCCAGCACGAGCCCCAGTTCCAGCCTCCCTGACTCTGGGTCTTTATCCACTGATGACAGAAGGGAGCACTGCATCCCCCCAACGACCCTGCCAGGTGCCCTACAGATCTGTGACTGAGCTCGCTCGCTCTCAGCCCAGCTGCTCCGTCCTGCCTCCCCCCGCCTGAGTGCCCTTCTCAGCTCCAGGGACGGCCTGCTCAGTTTCATCGGCAGGAGCATTTGAAAGTCTTTTTTGAGGATCCACTAGATCGTTTCCATGGTGACTGTACCAGTTTACATTCCCACCACCAGGGAAGGAGGGTTCCTTTTTCTCCATAACCTCTCCAGCACTTATACTTGTCTTGTTGATAACTGCCATTCTAACAGCTAGGAGGTGGGATCTCATCGTGGTTTTGATTTGCAATTCCCTAGTGGCTAGTGAAATTGAGTATCCGTTCATATACCTGTTGGCCATTTGTATGTCTTCTTGGGAAAAATGTCTGTCAGGTTCTCTGCCCATTTATAACGGGATTTTTTGTTGTTAAGTTGTATGAGTTCTTTATATGTTTTTAATATTAGCCCCTTATCAGAGGTGCTGTTTGCAAATATCTTCTCCCATTCAGTTGGTTGACTTTTTTGTTTTGTTGATGGTTTCCTTTGCTGTGAAGAAGCTTTTTATTTTGATATAGTCCCATTCATTTATTTTTGCTGTTACAAAACCATATGATTTAACTCATATGTGGGATATACAACTGAAGGCAGCAAATGAAAAACAAACACAAAATAGACACAGACAACAGTATGGTTACCAAAGGGAAAGGGAGGTGGGAGGGAGAGAGTAAAGTGTAAAGGGAGACACACAAGGCAATGTACAGATGATGTATTATATAAGTGTGCACTTCAAATCAATGTCATTTTATTAGCCTATGTCACCCCAATACATTTAATTAAAAGAAAATGTCTTTTGGCCAGAAGAGTCCCTTGCTACTTGTGATCGCTCTGAAAATGGATAGCCCAGCAAAAAGGACTAGGGAAGCCATGACACGTCCTATGTGGCTCCATGAACATCTCTCAGCGGCCGTAGATCAGGGCCTTACTCTTTAATCACTTCATGTCCAACATCATTGTTCACTGAGCCTTCTGCTTGCTCCGGGATGCTGTTATCATAATTCGACCCAGAGCCACAACACCTGGCTCTGGAAGGGCAGCTGGAGACATCCTGCAGATCGCCTGGAACTTCTCAGGCTCAGCTACACTCCAGAGGTGTGCAGGAGCTGGCTCATACGGGCTTCCAAGGGCAGACTGCTCAATGTGTAGGAATTTTGCAAGTCAGTTGTTGAACTCTTGGTAGCTTGAAATTGGCCTGGTAGGAATGTTTACAGCAAGGAAATGGGCAAACACTAAAAATTATGTTCTTTCTATTTTATTAACCAATGTCTTCCCAATACATTCAATAACAAAGGGAGGGAGAGAGAGAAAATAACCAGGTTCTTCCTCCCACCCCCAACTGCTTGTTAAATATTTACAAGCAAGTTGCTGTTAGTCATGGTGACCTGGTGCAGTATAGCGGGGTCGCGAGGTACACAGGTTTCAGATCTAGGCTGAGTTGAGTTAGTGTTCCTTTTTTTTTTTTTTTTTTTAATCCTCATCCGAGGACATGTTTCCATTTTTTGTACAGACAGAGTGGGAGGGAGAGAGAGAGAGAAACATCGACGTGAAAGGGACACATCGAGTGGCTGCCACCCGCACGACCAACCAGGGCCGGGGACAAACTGCAACTGAGGTACGTGCCCTTAGCGGGAACCGAACCCGGGTCTCTCCGGACCGCAGGCGGACGCTCTAACCGCTGAGCCAAACCGGCCAGGGCGAGTTAGTGTTCTTTTTTTAAAATTTTTTTTTCTTTATTGATTTTTAGAGAGAGATAGAAACATCGATGAGAGAGAACACCAATTGGCCGCCTCCTGCATGCCCCCCACTGTGTATCAGGCCCACACCTGGGCATGTGTCCTGACCGGGAATCGAACCAGTGATCTCTTGGTGCATGGGTTGACGCTCAGCCACTGAGCCACACCAGCTGAGTTGAACTAGAGTTCTAACTTTACACTTACTATAATGGTTTACCTTTAGTTTCCCAAAGTAAAATTGAGATTTAAAAAAATAGTATGCAAGGTAACACTGATTTCTGATTCCTCGTGTTTCCATTTGGAGAACTTCGATTGGAGCCACACTTCTGGCTTCTCTGATCCCCACGGGAGGGGGAGTGACTTATAGTCAGTTAGTTGAGTAGAAGAAACTCAGCACAAGTGACTGCCATCCCAGCACATGGCATCAAACATCATGGGCCAAGACATCTAAAGATTCTGCACCTGATGTGTGTTTTCTCTGGGGCAGAGGGGAGATGCCAGAAATTCAGCACAATTCTGACAATATCTACCAGGAGCTGGCACCAGATGCCACAGGTTAACAGCACAGTCTCACAACACTGCCCTCCAGATGCCAACTGCAAGTCCAGGTTGTCACCTATGCTTCTGACCAACTGCTTATAAATCAGAGGTTCCCAAGACCCCCTCCATGGGTTTGATTAACCTGCTAGAGCAGCTCACAGAACTCAGGGAAACATGTACTTAGTAAATCACCAGATTATAAAAGGCTATGACTCAGAAACAGCCAGATGGAAGAGACAGGTGCACAGGGCAAGGCATGGGAAGAGGGCGCGGAGCTCCCGTGCCCGCTCCAGGTGTGCCACGCTCCCAACACACCACCTGTCCACCAGCCCAGAAACTCTTCAAACCCTGTCCTTTTGGGTTTTTAAGCAGGCCTCATTACATGGTCATGATTGATTGAATCATTGGCCATTGTTGATTGATTCAAACTTTGGCCTCTCTCCCCTCCCTGGAGGTGGCGGAGAGGGTAGGGGAGTGAACCATCCTCTAAAGACATGATTAGTTTCTGGACAACCAGCCCTCATCCTTAGTTGCTTTCTAAAAGTCACCTCATTAACATAACAAAAGACACCTTGATTGATCTGTCTATCTATCTATCTATCTATCTATCTATCTATCTATCATCTTTCTATTACCCCTATCATATTAACACTGAGGAAGGGTATAGTTAATAGATTACTCCCGGTTGCAAATGACTGAAACCCAACTCAAGCTAGTTTAAAAGAAGAAGAGTTTATTTAAAAGCTGGATCCACATCTTTAGAAATCTCTCTCTCTCTCTCTCTCTCTCTCTCTCTCTCTCCCCCCTTCTACCCACCCCCAGCTCTGCTTTCCTCTCACAGGGACCAAGGACAGGCACCCGGTTTGTCTTCGAGCTTAGCAACCTCAGCTGAAACAGGGAGCCTCTTTCTCAACAGCTCTAGCAAAAGTGCTGAAGCTGGTCCCCAGCTGTCTGGGTGAGTCATGTGCTCATCCCTGAGCCACTGGCTGGGGCTCCGAACTGGGGCTTGAAGCTCAAGTGCCCATCCCGTGGAGGAGCAGGAGGCGGGGTCAGTCCTACCCAAACCCCAGGAGAAAGAGTGGGAGTGACTTCCTCAGTGAAGAGGGGGCTGCTAGTACCAAATAGGAAGACTGGACCCTGGGCCGGCGAAAATAAGACATCCGCAACTCTCCCTCCTCTCCTTGATCCTCGTGGACCGGCGGGGGATGGGGTTCCAAGGACGATCTTCTGGAGGAGTTGATGTGTGGAATAAGCTTGAAAGCCATTTGGAATTTTGCCGACAGACCAGAGAATTCAAAAGCAAAGGGAAGGACATGTGTAAAGACCTCAGGATGTGAGGCCATGTGGTTTATTTAGAGAGATGTGTAGGCTTGGATATGACTGTGGAGAAAACGGATGATAAGGCAGGAAGATTAGCAAGCTGCAAGCCAGCGTGTGGGTCTTTGTGTGCCCAGGTGAAGGTAATGCAGGCACACGTATCTTCATACTTAGGAGATTTTCCCATGCTATTTCAGTGTCAAAAAGAAAATCTAACACCAAAGAAAACTGAAGACAGAAATCATCAGAAGGACCTGATAAATACTTATGAATCTAAAACTGAAATGTCTTTTGAACTAAATGAGATCCTTTCTGTCCACCAGACCCACATGGCACAGTGCCCGGCACATTCGGCTTGCTCAGTAAGAGTTAGCCACTGTGTCTTAGTGGTCATTAAATCAGTCTTCATCAGTCCTCAGACCTTGGCTCACTCATTGTTTCTTAATGCTCAGAAACCTTGGGGCAGGACTTGGAGATGTATTTAACTCAAAAACATTATTTTGCAGACATGTACTCAAATCAGTAACAAAAAGTGATACTTCTGTCTGCTGACTTGCAAAATGAAAAATATAAGTCAACTATATTTGAAAATAAGAGAAGCCCTGGCCAGTTTGGCTCAGCTGTTAGAGCGTTGGCCTGTGGACCAGAGAGACCCGGGTTCGATTCCCACTAAGGGCACCTCGGTTGCTGTTTGTCCCCGGCCCTGGTTGGGGTTGTGTGGGTGGTGGCCACTCGACGTGTCTCTGTCATGTTGATGTTTCTCTCTCTCTCTCTCTCTCTCCCCCTTCCTCCTTCTCTATCTGAAAAATAAATGCAAAATGTCCTCAGGTGAGGATTTAAAAAAAAAGGAAGAAAGAAAATAAGAGAAATGGAGCCACAAAAATACACATAAAAAATGGTTCCTCAAGGGTTATTTATTTGAGTAAGACCAAGATCAGATCACCCCTCGATGAGTTTCTCAGTTAATTAATTTCATGCCATTGCTGGCCTAGTCTTCCCACTTTCCCTGAGCCCCTGGGAATATATAACATACAGATAATCATGTCAACCACTCCTCATGTGCGTGTGTGCGTGTGTGTGTGTAATCACAAGGATACAACAGAATTTAACAGGAATCAATTAAAACATTAAGAGAGCAAATAGCCTATGGGAGCTGGAATTCCATTCCTAGTCAGAACCCGCATTAGCCCTGGCTCTGCCATAGTGATTGGAGGGGCGGGTTTCCCACAGAGGCCTCCTGGCTGTCCTCTGTGCCCCCCCGGCTGTCCTCTGTCCTCCCCTGGCTGTCCTCTGTCCCCCCCGGCTGTCCTCTGTACCCCCCCCGGCTGTCCTCTGTCCCCTGCCCCTGGCTGTCCTCTGTCCCCCCCTGGCTGTCCTCTGTACCCCCCCCGGCTGTCCTCTGTCCTCCCCTGGCTGTCCTCTGTCCCCCCCCGGCTGTCCTCTGTCCCCCCCCGGCTGTCCTCTGTCCTCCCCTGGCTGTCCTCTGTCCCCCCCCGCTGTCCTCTGTACCCCCCCCGGCTGTCCTCTGTCCCCTGCCCCTGGCTGTCCTCTGTCCCCCCCCGGCTGTCCTCTGTCCACCCCCCCTGGCTGTCCTCTGTCCACCCCCCCTGGCTGTCCTCTGTCCCCCACTCTGGCTGTCCTCTGTGCCCCCTGGCTGTCCTCTGTCCCCCCCCCCGGCTTCCTCTGTCCCCCCCTGGCTGTCCTCTGTCCCCCCCGGCTGTCCTCTGTCCCCCCTGGCTGTCCTCTGTCCTCCCCCCAGCTGTCCTCTGTCCCCCCTGGCTGTCCTCTGTCCTCCTCCCGGCTGTCCTCTGTCCCCCCTGGCTGTCCTCTGTCCCTCCCCCGGCTGTCCTCTGTCCCCCTGGCTGTCCTCTGTCCCCCCCACCTGTCCTCTGTCCCCCCTGGCTGTCCTCTGTCCCTCCCCCGGCTGTCCTCTGTCCCTCCCCCGGCTGTCCTCTGTCCCCCCTGGCTGTCCTCTGTCCCCCCTTGCTGTCCTCTGTCCCCCCCTGGCTGTCCTCTGTCCCCCCTGCGCTGTCCTCTGTCCCCCCCAGCTGTCCTCTGTCCCCCCTGGCTGTCCTCTGTCCCCCGCGTGCCTGCCCTTAGACCACAGCTGTGAGCTTATCTCCCGAGTTGTTTGGAAGCCTGATGTTGACAGCTGGTAGCCTACCAGAGGGAGAGGGGACAAACGATTCCTTGTTCATTCAGTGAATGTTCCTCCAGCACCTTCTGCATGTCAGGGACAGGATCTCTGCCCTCATGGAGCTCAGATGACCGTGAAAGGAGACATATATTAAGCAAGTAAGTATGTGATGTTAGATGCCGTAACATCCATGACAAATGGAGATAAGGCAAAGAAGGGGGCAGGAAGTGGGCGGACTGGGTGATCAAGGCATCTCTTGCAAGGTGAAATACGAACGAAAACATGAAGGGGACAGCCGCACTCGGTAATTAGGGGAAGGTGTTCTACAAGCGGGAACGGCAGGTCAAATGTGGTGAGCAAGACGGAGCAAAGCAGGAGAGGACATCAGCAGGGCGGGGGAGGCGGCTGGCGTGCCCATATTGGTTTTCTTCACAGATGCCTTTTGTCATTTGTCTCCTCTGTGTGCTGTCTTCCCCCTTCTCTTGCCTTTACTCAGAAGACATTTCCCTTCTTTCTTGAGAACATTGGTTATTCTAACTACCAAGAATCCCACTCCTTTTCTAGAATCAGCAAGTTGGAGGAGTGGGAACAGCATCTCCCCCACTGCTTGTGTCAATCACAGTGACCCCCCACCCCCCTCTGCTCAGCCGGTCACACTGCCTGGAACTAGATTCTTCACCGAGATGGAGAATGATTGAAGCTTAATTAACCTGACTTTGGTCCCTGAAAACAGTATCCAGTAGTTTCTGGTCCCTGTTTCCCCAAAGCTGCCCTGGTTTCTGTCCTTTCTGGGACTTAACTGTCCAGTTTTTCTCTCAATTTCATAATCTAACCAACACCTTCCAGTAAATTCATTGTTAACTCTACAAAGAAACCCTGACTTACCGCCATCTATCAGGCTCTTCTTCCTGTCATCACTGACGCCCTAGGTCGTGGACTTGTGGGAACGTGTCCTTTCCTGCAAAAATAAACGTGTGATTATAAACTAAATTTTCAATATGAAGAAATTTCTAGCATTATTCAACTGGCTTATCAGAATTGTTCTTTTTGAAGTAAAACCGTTGTTTGCTACAATTGGACACATTAGAATAAAAGACATCACCGTTACATGAGATGGAATAAAGAAAAATTAATCAGTACAGATGAGGAGAATAGAACATGCAGGTTAAGCTCCCAGACTTTGGAATCACACAGTTGGTGTCTGCAACTCAGCTCTGGTCCCTGGAGGCTGCACAAGCTTGGGCAAGGGCTGGTCTTTGGTTCCCCTAGAAGCAGACCCTCAGACGAGGGTTCCAGTGTGAGTATGTATTTAGGGAACATCAGTAGAGAAAGTGAGAGAGGGGAATGGAGGCAGCCAAGAAAAGGTACATTTTCGAGCTAGATACCTGTGGGCCACTGGGACGCAATTCTACTAGGAGTCTCTGGGGGCAGCACAGAAAACACAGCTCAGTTCTCTCCCACCCACGGAACACACGAGCTGGTAAAACTCCATTAGTCGCTGGATAAAGACTTGGGGGAGGGGGTGATGGGCATAATTCCCCAGCACGCTGGCCCGCTCTAGTGGCCAGGGAAAGCCCTCAGGCAGACAGACGCAAACCCTGGCAGTGTGAGGTCAGCCAGTGCCCAGAGAAAGGTGAGGCCCTGAGGGACATGGGAGGCGGTCCTCACAGAGCTCACTACACACTTCGTCTGTAAGCCTCAGTTTCCCCATGTGTAAAAGGGAATAAAGTAGCACCTCACAGGGCAGCTATGGAAAGACAGAGAGGAAAGCCTGAGGCAAACGAGCAGGGAAGAGTGGGAGGTGGTGAGTATGAGAAAATGACGACGATGAGTCACAAGTACAGAACCAACGGGTGAAAGCAGCTGCGTTCTCCAGCACAGTCCAGCAGCACAGGCTTCCCACAGAGAACTTTCAAGAGATTCGCTTCTCGAGGGCGGAGGGAGGTTGTCACAGCAAACCCCTCCATTCCCCAAAGGAGAATCATTTCCAAATACAGGAGCAGGTGAGAGGAGAGAAGAGGAAGGATCTGTTTTTCTGAAATGATGCTCCTGCTGAAGTCTTTACCAGTGAGGAGGGTAATTAGTTCTTTCAGTATGACAAGCACACAAGTTTCTGCCTTTTCTAAGAGGGAAAGGAATTTGGGTCATAAAGATGTTGGCTCTATTAAAAAATGAAACAGCCCTGGCCGGTTTGGCTCAGCGATTACAGCGTCGGCCTGCAGACCAGAGGGTCATAGGTTCGATTTCCGGTCAAGGGCATGTACCTGGGTTTCAGGTTTGATCCCTGGTGGGGATCATGCAAAGGCAACCAGTCCATGTTTTTCTCTCTCCCTCTCTCCCTCCCTTCCACTCTATCTAAAATTTAATGGAAAAATATCCTCAGGTGAGGATTAACAACAACAACAAAAAAGGAAACAAAGCTCTTTTATTAATTTTAGATGAATTTGTTTTTTATTAATTTACTCCTAATGGGCCTGGGCTCCGAGTGTTTGCTCAGTTGTTTCCAACAAGCCCAGAAGTTTGCACTTCCTTATTTGGCCTTATTTCTGCTCCCTCCTTGGTTCAGATCCTCATTGTTCCAGTCCGTGCGTAGATGTCACACACTTCATTCAACATTGATTCATTCCACAAATCTCTACTGCACACCTATGTCATGCCAGGTACTGTTCCAGGCACTGAAGGTGCATCACCAGCAAAGTCCTTGCTCTGATGGAGCTTACACTCAAGTGTGTGTATTGGGGGGGGGGGGGGGCATGGACAATTCACCGTATGTGACTCAGGAAGGATCAAGTACTAACAGAGAAAGCAAAGGACCTTCAGTGTGTGGAGGTGGTTTGTTCTTTTCCATGGGTGTAGGAGAAGGCTCCTGGTAAGGAGACATTTGAGTTGAGACATGAAGGACCTGGAGAAGTCATGTGAAGGCCTACAGAAGAGCATTATGGGCAGAGGGAAAAGGCGAGTCCCAAGGCCCTGAGGCAGGGAAGTGCCTCGCATGCTTCAAGCGCACAGAGGGAGCCTGCGCAGCTGGAGTGCAATGAGCAAATGAGCGCGTGGAAGCAGCTGAAGGTGCTGTCACAGAGGCTGAAGTGAGCATGTACGGAAGGGGAGGGGAGGGAGGAAGAGGGGAGGGGAGGGGGGCTCAGGATGGGACTTGTAAGGAGTTGGGCTTTTACTGTGCATGAGAGAGAAAGTCAGTGGAGGAGAGCGAGCAGAAGTGTGACATGATCTGACTTGTATTTTAACGGGATCCTCTGGGTGCTGTTTCAAGAAGAGACCGTCCAGAGGCAAGAGCGGAAACAGGGAGCCCAGGCAGAGATGCTCTCGTGAGAATCCAGGTGAGCAACGGTGTGGCTTGGAGCAGGTGGCAGTGGTGGAGGTGGTAAGAACTGGCCATATTCTGGATCTATTTTGAATAGAGAACCAAGAGAATTTGCAGACGGATTGGAGGTGGTCTGAGAGAATAAAGAGGAATCGAGGATGACTCCATCTATTCAGTAAAACAGTGTATGCTACCAGCCAGACACTGTCCCAGACACGTGGAAAAACAAACAAGAACTCCTGCCTTTCTAAGTAGAGAAAACTGAACATAGACAAATATAATGATTAAGTATGTTGGAGGGTGGTAAGCTCTAAGAACAAAACCAAAGCACGGATAGGGATAAGGAACCTCAGGAGTGGGGGTTGCACTGATAAAGAGGGTTTCAGAGGGACCTCACTGGGAAGGTGAGACCAGAGTAGAGATCTAAAGGAGGTGAAGGAGTGAACCATGAGGCTTTCCTGGAAAATGGCCTTTATAATGGAGGGAATAGCAAGTGCAAAGGCCCTGAGGTTTTGAATACGTTGATTTTCGAGATGACAATTTGACATCACGGTAGAGCTGCCCAGGGGGTAGCTGGATCATAAAGTCTGAGGTTCAGGGGAGATCACTGAGAAAAACTCCTAAGTGGTTCTCTTGGCTTTGGGCCCACCCTCCTCCAGGTAGGGTGACCAACTGTCCTGGTTCCCGTGGGACTGAGGAGTTTTGCAGGACACCGAACTTTCAGTGCTAAAAACAGGACAGCCCTGGGTAAACCGGACAGCTGGTCACCCTGATTCCAGGCTATCCTCCACCCTGCTGCAGGGGGGAAGCTTCTGAAACATAATCCTAAAAAGCCTTCCATTATTCCTTCTAGCATGAAGGACAGAAGTTAAAATTCTGTAGAACTCAGCACAAAAGTCTCTTCCTACACTGGCTCTAATATCTCCCTGCCCATCACTTCCCTCACCAGCACCCCATCTCCTACTGGCTGCTCACTTTTTTGGACAACCAGCTGTTCAGCATCATTGAGCCTCCCGAGCAAGTTGAGATATTTTAACTCCCCTTCCTACCCCAGCCTTCACGCATCCTGTCCTCTGCCCACTCCGTCCCCCACCTCCGCTTCTCCGTGAGGCCTCAACCCTTCTCTTGCTTAAATCTCACTTCAAGCGCCCCTCACTCGAAGCCTTCCTGGCCGACACACACGTGTTCTGCTGAGGGCTGAATCCATGCTCGGCGGGTCCTAAGGTGTAGACAGTCTGAGGGGCACTCTTTAAGAAAAGTAGCACAAAATTACAACTACAGGTTCAGGTATAAAAGCAGATATCTACCTAGAAAGGACACATACAAACGAGGAGGAATCCTGAAGCTGAAGATTCACAATAAACCGCTCTCTGATCCCACCCGTCCACCCCGGGCGGAAACTGCAGGTTCAATCGCCTCTCTCCGTCCCTGGGCTGTGAGCTCCCCGGGGCAGGAGCACTCACCTGCTGCGTCCTTGCACCCCAGGGGCCTGGCACACCGAAGGCCACCAATGGATGTTTGTTGACTGACTAAATGAGTGGCCAGGCTGGGGGTGACAAAGAACAATGGTCTTTGGGTCAAATCCTGATTTTAGTGACACCTGCCACTGACCAGTTATATATACATACACACACACACACACATACATATATATATATGAAAAACATAAATAGATAGTACTTTATATGTAGGTACTTAAATATATATTAAGGATGAATATGAGTAGTATATATATGAACAGTTCATATGGGGTGTCTGGCTGCAAGAGGTGCTAAATAAATATGTGTTCCTCCTCTTTCCCCATCCTTGGGCTTGGTGCGCCTTCCATCAGTCACAGACCCCCAGGGCTGAAGGACAAGCCAGAAAAAGATACTGCTGTCTGTGAATACATGCACCTGTCCAGTTCCGCTGTCTTACATTTCAGAACCAAGACCAATGTTTTAGCTGAAATATTTTCCCTGCCACTCACCAGTTAAGATTATTTAATTGATCTTTTGACTCGCATATTTGTCTGCAGGTCAGAAGGTACATCTATAATGCGCCTCTGTGCACTTGAACTCAGTCCAGGGTCTGTAAATAAGGATGAGAGAGTGCTGTTTCTGCTATCTAAGCCAATCAATGGTGCTGTTTTAAAGGAACCAATTTCCTTCCTTGTGAACCCAAGTATATAATAAATGAATAATTCAGCTTCCCTGAAATATTTATTATGGGCAGGTGGCATTCTGCTCTCTGAGAAAAGTAAGTTGTCTAAGAATCGGACGCCTTTGGGTAGCACCACCACTAATCATAGCAACTCTGTCTGTTGCTTTCGGTCACTTGCCCAAGGCCCACAACAACCTTGGGAGTCAGGAACCCTTCCTGGCCCCACGCGGTGCCTTGCGCATCCCGCTCAGGGGTAGATCCAGCCTGAGTCACGGAGAATTACCTCAAGGGCGGCCAAGGGCAGAAACTCTCGTTAAACAGGGCCAGCGAGAGTCTCACCTTCATCCCGTTTGGATTTGGATTTTCCTGGATGCTCCACGTAGCATAGTCACATCCCTCTATGGCTTATGTTAGATCCAAGTAGCCAAGTTTCATTTCTCTAAGGTACTGAACCATCTCACCTCAGTAGGTAGATCAAGGTTAGAGTTATTTAAAAC